GCCCTGATCCCGCCACACCTCCCACCCCCTGCTACCTACCCTGATCCCCCACACCTCCCAGTCCCCCTGCCATATACCTCCTACCTCTCTCTTCCCCCCCCCATGCCGAGAGAGCTGCAAAGGGGGGGGGAACTGAGGTACACACATACATTACAGCAGTGACTGTAACAGCACCCCCACTATGTCACATTTGCATATATATTTGCATGTCTATGTAACCACACCTACCTTGCAGCCCTCCGCATGTCAGGTGAGTATCATTGTGGCCCCCGGGGCTTCCAAAGTTGAGTAGTCCTGCTGTAGACTAACGTGTCCTGAGTAAATTATTACTATAAGGCATGACCCTTTTGGTCAGTAGACACAGAAACAGTGTGTACCCTGCCCTGGGCAAACGCCGGTTGAATGGCTGCGTGACCACTGGAACGGCTCTTTCCCAGTTGCAGTGTCGAGCTAGCTCACCTGGTAACCTGGAAGGCTTTCTCGTTTTTCAGTTATAGGGCGTCCTTGCTATGAGTCGCCCCGGTAACGTCACTCACGCGTGAAGGAACGGACACGTTGTAAGTCCTCCCATTCCCCGCTCTTAAGTCGCACGCACGCAAAAAGCAAAACCAAACACCACAGTGTGCGCAAAAGTCAGGCAGCCGCAGGAAAGAAATTCCCCACTTTCGGGTGTTTTGTCCAAGGTTTTGCAACGTATCTTGGACTCATAGTGAGGAGGACGGCCTGTACTAGATCCCCTGCAACAGCCAGTTGTGGGGGAGCCCACAAGAAGCATCAGAGCAGTGATAAGGAGAGGGAGAGGGGGTATTAAGACCCAGAATTTCGGGTGACCTACACAGCGGCCCATGCCTCTCTGGAACCCCCCTTCAGATAGCTGAAGGCTGCATCAAATCCCCCCTCCCTCTTCTCTTCTGTAGACTAAAGAAGCCCAAATCCATGGGCGGCTGGTGCAGTTGGGGCTGGGGGAAGCAGGCCCTCAGCCCCACCTAGAGCCCCGCCCCCTTTGCTGAGGCCCCGCCCCCACGGGGAGGAAAGGCGGCAGGGCAGTGTGCCGAGTGTGCCCCCCTCAGGGCAGGCGAGGGGGCAGGGCCAGGCATTTTCAGAGAACTATCCATGATGAGCCACACTGGTATAAAATCCCTTTCTTGAGTGATAACAGCTAATTTAGACCTTTTCATTTTGCACACGTAGTTAGGATGTTTTCCCATATTTATTACTTTGCATTTAACAACTTTGAATTTCATGTGGCATTTTGCTATCTAATCACTCCATTTTGTGAGAGCCTGTACAGGGTCCACCATCAGTTAGAGGTCGTGCTGACTCCCTCCAGGGCCCACAAGTTCGGACCTTGGCCTGGCCTGTGGCCGAGGGACAGTTTATAGGGCCCAGCCCTGGGACAGGATGGGCAGGCAGACAAGGGGTTCACACAACCCGTCAATAGTTCCCGGGTTAAGACGCTGCCCTGGGTTAGGGCGAGACGTGTCTCCCACGAGCGGTGTGGCAGTGGTCCGGTCTCCTCGCTCCCGGAGAACTGACAAGCCAGGGGATATTCCCTTAGAGGGGGAACCCGCCACCCCTAGGGGAGAGGTGGCAGGGGGGACGCAGGCCCCCCCGTCCCCAGGGTCCTGATAGTGGTGGCCTTGCAGCCGCTAGGTTGGCGGGGATCCAGGCTGTTACACGTGGACAAGGGCAGGGGTCAGCGGGGATCCAGGCCACAACACGCTGCCCACCCGACCTCCATCTGCTCAGCCGTCCCAGGCTCGGCTATTCCCGGGACCCTTCCCAGTTCCCCCTGGGGGCCTACCAGGCTCTGGCATTGCTCCGGAGGGTCTGCTGGTGATGGAGGCACTGGCAGAGTATCCATCCGTTTGGGCTCTGGCAGGGGTCCAGGTGTGCTGGACTAGACATCTGGGCCTGGCAAGGGTCCTGGCAGGTTTGGCCCGGCCTCCAGCGGTGGCCAGGACCTCGGGAGCTAGGGATGGGGAAGTCAGCAGGGTCCTGGCGGTGCAACCCAGTCCTCTGGCTGGGGGCAGTGCGGCCGAGCCCTGCGAGGTGGGAGCTGGAGCCAAGCGTCTGCCCTGGTCGGCTGCCCGGCTCTGACTGAGCTTCCAGCTCTTATACTGCTAGCTAGTCCCACCCACTGGCTTCTGGTGGGCGGGGCTAAGGGAGGCTGGATCCGCCCACCAAGGGGTCTTAGAGGGCACTTCCTCTTCTGAGTCAGAGGGTGGCCATGGTGCTGTCCCGGACTCATTCCAGCCAGCACGTGAGGAGTTATCCAAGGATCCCTCCCAAGGGCGGCCCTTGCACAAAGCCAAGTAGCAGACGGCTATTGGGTGTGACCACAGGGGTGCATTCCATCGGGAGAGCGGGGCAGACCCATGAGGCCCCTGTCTCAGTCTGGGGGTGTCGGTGGAATGCCCATCTTGGCTGGGGGCATAACTCTGTGCAGCACCTGGCACACACAACTCGATCTCAGGCTTGGTCTCCAGGCGACAGTGAAGCGGAATAATCAGAGGATTGTAGACCAGGGAGGAACCTCGAGAGACCATCCAGTCCAGTCCCCGGCCCTCCTGGCAGCACCAAGCACCGTCCAGACCACCCGTGGCAGGTGCTTGTCTAACTTGCGCTTCCAAAACTCCAGCGGAGGCGATTCCGCCACCTCCCAAGGCAGTTCCCTTGGGTCTGTCTCTAGACACAGCCCTTCCAGCCAGTCTGCCCGCCCATGCGGGGCTCCCTGTGCACGGACGAGGCTTGGCTAACCCATGTGACCCTGCGTGAACACCAAGCACCTGAGCACTGCTGGGATTGTGTGTTCTTGGATCCGGACTTCTACACTCCAGTCGTCTGAAGAAGTGGGTTGTGCCCATGAAAGCTCACGCTGCCGTCGACAGGTTTGGTTCGTCTTCAAGGTGCTGCTAGACCATTCGTGGTTAAGTTTTACCTGTTACAGAGTAACTCGGCTACTCCTCTGTTCTTTTTCTCAGTAAGTCTGGGGTCAGCACAAACCAACACCCCCCTTTGGTTTAACCCCAGAGAGAACCTTGCCTCCTGGGGGCCTTTCTTCCCTTTCCACATTCACCGCCCCCATTCAGTGCGCAGACTAAGCCAAGTTCTGCTCCGGGGGCGTGGTGAGTCCTTTCCCAGGGTAGCTGCACTGTGTCCATCCAGTCTGAAGCCCAGAGCTCTCTGGAGAGCAGGCGGACCTGGCGGGAGCTGGCAGGCCCCTGGAGATCTTGCTTTCAGGTTCCTGGCTGACGGCAGAGCAGTGGCTTGACGGGAGGAGAGTGGCTGGTGTCCTCGGTGGTGCATTGATACAGGGTAGGAGACAGGGCTGGCTCGGAGCTGCTGGCCCAGGCAGATTTCAAATGCAGTGTGTCCTGGTTTTTTGCAGGGTAGGAGGCAGAGATGGCTTGGGAGCTACTGGCCCAGGCAGATTTCAAATGCAGTATGTCCTGGTTTTTTGCAGGCTGGTATTAGTGTTGTCGAGGATCAGTAGAAAAGGGTGGGTTCTCCCCTGGCTGGCTTCTTCTGTCGTCTACCTGCATGCCCAGCGGCTGTAAACCGGCCCCAGTTTGAATCTGGTTTCATGCTGGTGTCAGTGGTGACGCACAGCAGGAGGGAGCCGGATCCCAGGGAATGAAGTTAGCAGAGATCCTGGCACCAGGGCTCTTGGGGAATCCAGACCCCAGTAGCCCAGTGTGCTCAGCACAATTGGAAATACGGCCCGTGTTCAGATCAGGCCGGGGGGAGCCGAGAGCGCTGGAAAATCCGGCTCTTTTGCCCCCCAATCCTGTATTTTTCTAGTTGCAATTAAATACGTTGGGCCGTGGTGCTCATGAATCATTTGGCTGTTGCGTGCATGCTTCTAAGCCCTCCTGTGTTACAATACTCTGTTAAACAGCTGTGCTGACCCACCCCAGAGCTGGCTGCGTTCCAGTCAAGCCTTGCCTCATCTGCTGGGTTGGCTGTTTCGTTTGCAGTGTGGGAGCATGTGGCTGTACCTGGCTGCCCTGCTGGGGCTGTACTTCCTGCGCCGATGGTACCGGGAGCGGCAGACTGTCGAGGGGCTGTCGGAGAAACACGTCCCGATCA